AGAGTCCAAACAAGAGTCTCAGTGCGGCAGAGTCGCCTGTGCTGATGAACAGGTGTTGTGTGTGTGTGTGTGTGTGTGTGTGTGTGTGTGTGTGTGTGTGTGTGTGTATATATATATATATATATATATAAACTATGCTTTTTATCACCTTGAAACAAGACCAGTCTGCATTGGTTTTGGTCCCTCTCCAAAGTATGAGATTTTTTTAAGCTGAAGACTAATTAACAGATTTATCATGTGTTGGTTTTTGAACTGCAAATTGCAGATTCTATTTTTTTTCCTCTAAACTGAGTGATTCCACACATTTTTCTTCTACTCGAGCTAGCAATTATAATTCTTTTATTTTTATTTCAAGATGTCTTAAAATTTTGAAAAATGGAAGTTTTTTAGCCTGTCTGATTTATTTTAGGAACATGAAATTCCATAACTCTTTTCAGCGGCTGTAAATTAAATAGTTTGATAAAAGTTGAACTCTTATTTTTTTTTCAAATGAGGTTGTTCAGTTATCCTGTTCACTGAATATTATTTCAAAAAATCTGAATTAAAGACACGTTGGGAAAGTGTTTCCTGACCATTCAGATGAATAAAAAAGGCCAAATACTCAGAGTGGACTCAATTTTTTTTCTTCTTTTAATAAAAACGTATGAACCCTCCAATAAACACTGAAGACTGCGTCACTTTCTCAGGGTTTGATTTTATTTTTTACCTCTAGTTAGCGAATGAGCGCGCAGTGCGCTGCTGATGGAGCACAAACAGCCCATCATCGATCCCAGCTGTGGGCCGGTGGTCCACGAGAATCCTCACACCTCAGTGGAAATGGACCCCCCACGGACAACCTAATGTGATCCACACATAAAAACAACACCCGGCGCTCTCACCTTCACTTTGCAATTCTTGTGTGAATAGATTTGGCACTATTTTGTTGCACAATTCTGGATAAAACATGTTTTTTTTTCTTGGCAAACAACACAATCATAATAACTCTATTATTCCTAATGAAATGTTTATTCCATGTCCTGTCCATGGCTGAACTCTCAGCAGTATCAGCGCTAAAGTAATAGAAATGCTATTGATCCAGCTCAGGAACTGGCCTGGTGCTTCAATCCAACCTCCAAATAAAATATTTCTAATTGTTGATGTTGTGGAAACAAACTGACATAAGCAAAACTTTTAAAGTTGAACAGCTCATCAGCCTGCAGACAACAGAGTCGGACTTTATGACAGGCCTGGCGCTCATTGAAGGAATAAACATGGCCTGCTGCGTTTCATGCCAGAGTTGTTGAGAAATGATGGAGGTGTAGCCATTTTCATTAAACCTTGAAATGTTAGACACATGATCCCATAATCAGACTGGCCTTTGTGTTGTTAACGACTGTCAGCTCAGTGTCTGTAAAACTGCCTGGATTTTCTAAGGTCAGTTTGTTAGTAGCCATCTTGAATAGTTCCAAAAATTGGGATGGGATATTCAATTATACTTTCCTGAAAGTTTGATTAAAATCCATCCAATGATTTTCTTTTTGTAATATTTTGTTAACAGCAGACTGAGTTGATTCCAAGAGCCTAAACAAGTATTTTGTGCAATGTATTTGTGCCATTAGTATAACTTGGGGATCAGTGTCAGCTACTACAACAGATATTAGCCTAATATCCGTAAATAAATAAAGTTTTTTGCCATTTTTGTGTTTTTTAAGATCAGTTGTGGTGGTCATCTTAAATCAGGCTGATCCAAAAATTAATCAGCCACGGATTCTAAACCAAAGATTACTTCCTGCATGTTTAACTGAAATATTTCCATTGGTTCATGAGATATTTTGCTAACATACACAACAAACAGATCCTGGCAAAGAGATTTCTCTCTCCTGCTTGGCAACAATTTCCAGAGAGCTCTCTTAAACAAGCCAGATTTGAAAAGGCGGCATCTTCATCAATCTGTTCAAGAATTTTCAAACTAATTTCATCTGTTTCTGTTAAGTTACTCAGCAGCTCTGAGCACACTTGAACAAATATCCACACATTCCTCACTGTACATGATCTGTATTCACTCTGTCTCCACAGGAGCAGCCATGTTTGCTCTAAGTGGGGGTCAGATGACTTTTATTACCGAGGGGAGGATTTGATCAGCAACCAGAGTCACCTGACCGTGAGGGGGCAAGGGGTGTCACACCAAACCCTAAAGCCTGAACAGAATTTCAAATGATGTTTAGGTTATTTTGACAAATATACAAAAAATTCAGGAGAAATTACCTTCTGATATACATACTGATCTATCTCAGATTATTTTATTTACAGTTCATCCATCCCTTATCTTAATCTGCAACTTCCTTTTCATGGTTGCAGGGGTCACTGCATGGTCCATGTCCAGCAGTCACTGTAAGAGAGGCGATGTACACTCTGGACAGACTGCAAAGTCCATCACAGAGATAAACGAGATAAACAACCATTTACTGAGCAAAGCCTTGTTACAACTTCCTGAAGCTTGTTCTCTCCTAATGTTGTGTAAAAATCTTGATAACTCCTGCATCCCATGCTTTTAGACCTGTTGGTCTTATTCAGGGGGACTTTTAATTTGAATATATATTTATATGTTTATTTATATGTTTAACTTCTAATTACTCAAAACGATGTTTTCTATGACAATATGTTCATGAGGCTCTACTAATCATGAGTAGCTAAAGCTAAAAATGCGCACAAAAGTGTGAGAGTCAGGAAGATAAAACTTGCACCAAATGGCACCAAATGATTAAAAGCTATAGGCCTAAATTAACAATGAAAACCAAATCAAGACAACACATTGTTTGAATCATAAAAATTAGAAGTGATGAATTTAACAATCAAATTGATACAATTTGTGATAAAGACTCACAATTGTTTGAGGGAATGCATACTGCTGTCTTTCATGTAGAGTTTTACACTAAGATCGTCATTTGTGGTAAACTGATGGCAAAACCTTGAATGTTACACACAATCTCATACTCAGAGTATGACTTATACTCATAGTATGACTTTCAGCTATAATTTAAATCAATAAAAGTAAAATTCACTGCATTACCACCTTTTTTGTGTTGGCTAATTTTCTATTGAACATCCATTGAAAATGTACTAACCGTTTCATTAAAATCCATGTTTTGTTAACAAACAAACCGTAATAATTGCTAGAGTTTTAAGCACAGCTCTTGCTATGAAGAAATGAAAGCTGTAACTACAAATTTAATGCAATATTTGTAAAATTGACTGAGGTCATGTTTCTGTTTATCACTTGGCTAATATGGCAGTCTTGGTTGGTTCCAATGAGTCAATTTAATGAAAGTTTCATTTTAATCTGTTCAGTGCAGGTTTATGAGATATTTTGCCAAAAGGCACAGTTGACTCCATAATAATAAATGGAAAAATTTTAATGAAAATTGTTACCACTCTTGGGAATCAGTCTCAGTTAGGCCTACAACAAATTTGAGTTCAGTATTTGCAAAATTCCCTGAATTATATATATA